TTTTTTCATTAATTTAATGAACTAAATTCTGGGAAAACGACGTTGAGACTGTTTTTCTATTAGATTAATGAACTGAATTCTGGGAAAAAGCCGTCGAGACTGTTTTTTCACTAGATTAATGAAATAAATTCGGGGAAAAAACGATGCACTACCCAGTCAAAAGAGAGAGAAATAATAGAATTTCTTTGCTCAATAAATACGTTGTCTTCTATTATGAGTTACATTCATTTCTTCAACTTTTAATATCTAGTTAGTAATGGCTTCAAGAAGAATTTGGCCGTGGCTTTTATTTATGATTATTACACAAACAGTCGGAGAAGATACACGATCAGTGCGAATGTCTTTAATACCTAATTCTAAATTTCAATGTGCCAATACAACCTGTTTACCATTCACTAATGTTATTACATCAAACATTAGGAATTGTCAAGCAGCCTGTTTAGCCCAAAGTCAATGCAGAGCAGCCACTTTTCATCGATCAACTTCTAAATGTGAATTATTTGCTGATATGTTGAATCAGAATGGAAATATGTTGGCTGATACAGATGCTGCGAGTATGAATATTATTAGTGGAACCCGATTTCCACCTGGTCAGTATTAATAGAACAGATTAAGAAGAAAATATATCTGTGAGAAAGAGAAAAAAATAATTTCAATTTTTCGAGAACTAAGACAGTTTGACAGCGATATTGAACACCGCTATGTGTAAACCACAGATCTAAAAATTATTTTTCTAAAATAGAACCAACTACCACATCAACATCAACTACTTCAACAACATCAACAACATCCACAACATCAACTACTTCAACAACATCCACAACATCAACTACTGCAACAACATCCACAACATCAACCACTTCAACAACATCAACATCAACAAGTTCAACAACATCCACAACATCAACTACTTCAACTTCATCAACATCAACTACTTCAACAACTTCAACAACATCATCAACATCATCAACATCAACAAGTTCAACAACATCATCAACATCATCAACATCAACATCAACAAGTTCAACAACATCAACAACATCAACAACATCATCTACTTCGTCAACATCAACATCAACAAGTTCAACATCATCAACATCAAGAACTTCAACAACATCAACTACTTCAACAACCACAACAACAGCATCAACAACAGCAATACAGCGTTAGTATTATGTGAAATTATTTGTAGTTGTTCAAACGATGATTACTAGAAATGATGATGTCCAAAAGTTTTGATTTTAACTATTAAGTAATCGGTATCTAGATAGCCAACATTAGCGAACATTCCTAGTAAAAGTCGAATTAGAACCAATTGTTGATGACTTGATTTGATCTACACTCATTTAAGTACTGAGCATTCTTGTCCTATCCAACAGTATTAGATGAAAATATTGCTGATAAACAGATTTTTATGCGATAGAACTCATTGATCCTTCTAGTAATCACTCACACACACCCACTCTTAAGATGATCGGAGTATAACTCTACATGTCGAATTATTAGTTGACATGTCTATCAACACTTAATCTCATATTTTAAGTCGCATTTGTATAGAGTTGAGTAATTCAAACAAATAGCATAGGAGTATAAAGCAAAAACTTCAAATCCGAGAAAACCGCATTTCATCGCCATCAATTAACCCTTAGTATACTAATTTTCTTACTCACAATCACATGCTGGTACTTATATACACCACCGATCCAACATGGTGATAGTACATCTTGTTTCCACTATGTTGAATAATGTAGACTGACTTCACTCAAATTTTGAAATTTGATCGTATTCATCGTAACTGAATTGTAGGACAGTGCTGGAGTATCTTCAGTTCGCTATATTGGTAGAACTCGAAAAATATCAGTGAAATTGTTCATAAAATTTTTTTATTAATTTAATTTAACATTTCATAATGAATTTTATCATAATCATGAAAACAAAGATAAGTTTATTGAAGATTTGAAATCATTTAATCTATCATCAATAGATAGGCATCTTATGCACATGAGAGATTCGAAGTCATTTTAAGAACAATATTTTTTACCCATTTTTCTGCGTTATATAGAATGGACAATGACAGGAAATATAAGTTTCCAAGTAGTTTGGCACACAGCATCCACATTAGCAAATGGATTAGTATTAGTTGCTGGTGGAACGGTGTCCGGTACTAGTGGTGGTGTTCGCAATCTTGCTGAATCTTACAATCCATCAACAAACACTTGGACAAGCACAGGAAACATGAATG